CCATGGCATGTACCGGTGGGTAGGCAGTACTATACATGAATTACCAAGCGCACATCTCACCATGAGCAAGGTGGTAGAGAGAAACTAGCCAAACAAATACCAAAGATGGTCATTTTCGTTGGGCTGGTCCTCCCGCTTTCCATACTAGTCTCCCGGTCTCGTCCATACTCTCCATAAGTCCGGTTCCACTTGGACCACAGCGCAATACAGTTGATTTTATGCTGCGGTATAGCTACGTGCAAGCTAAAGAGCCTCCTTGGAAGGCGATGTCAGTCGCATGTGTGCAGCCTGTAATAAAGGTGGCGCGTTCGGCTGTCGGGCAAGTTTCCGGAGGGAAGCTATAAGATATATGCGCTAGTTTTGCCGGTTAAGCTGAAATGCACGAGAGCTGTGAGACATTAGACTCACTAAATTTGGATCCAGCGTGGGCAATTTGCACCACTCCTCTATAAATTCAACATAGACATCAGCCATGCCAGAGGCGTTCGTGCTCCCGGCGCCAACAGCCGCGGAGAAAGGACTCATTTGCAGCTTGAAGGGCTTCGATGAATTCTTCGCCTTCGGCCATGACAGAATCATCATCATTCTCCTGAGATGTAAGTTCTCGAAGTTTTCTTGTCGCCAGCATTTTCACCGCGTGAGGGTCGCCCTGTAGTGTGTCTTTAAGAACACTATATAGATGATCAAGAAGGGCCGTGCGAAGGCGCTCTTGGCTGGGATATGAACGAATTAGGACCTCGAGAGCTGAAAATAAATTTATACTAGGCAGAGCTGTGGCCTAACTCAATTTGAATCCTTATAGAGGAATGACAAACAGACCCTTTTGCAGCGCTCAAAATCACGGACTTGACAATAGCACCATCCATAATGGCTTGCCGTTGCCCTCTCGCCTTCGTCACCTCCTTTCTCAGCCGCTATCTCTTCTGGGGTTAGTGGCGCCGTATCTTCCTCGGCAGTTGTCTCTGTCTCAACAATAGGGTGATCTTCCTCATGAATTCCCAGCACAGTCCACCTTCGTCTCATCCCTTCGACAAAGCCCATTTCCATTCGCACATACTCTCTCCACATATCGACGCTGTCTGCATTGAGTCGAAGACCACGCTGAAGGAGGGCGGCGTGCCGCGGAAGGGGACATGTGGTTAAGTTCGTGAGAGGCAGCGATGATATATAATGCAGGTGTTCTTGGATGGAGCTGGAGGGCCCTATGTGCACGGTTAAGAACGGACTAACCAAATTTGAAACTGGACGCGCCTGGCTGTTATGCGCCCCACTAGTGAACGAGCCCCCTCACGTTTTGCAACTTGGATATATTGTATCCACAATCCTACGTCCGACTTGAATTTCTTGAGCGCACGTTCAAATATCTGGAATGTCTGCGAACAAGAGCATAATCTGATATTGACGACGCGGTCTTTTCAAGTTCTAAGAGCAAACCATAGAACAGTCAGCGGGTTGGAAGCCTTGAGGTATGGACATGCCTCAGCACATACTCAGTCTCTCAACGCGCTTCCGCCTCAGCTGCTCCAGGTTCATCTCATACGCCGCGTATCGCAGGAAGTCACTCTTTTTTTGGGATGCGACGGACAAGTGCGGTTTCGAACTGTGTACGTTTTTTCACAATCTGTTTAACCTCAGACTAGAAGCAAAGTTGGATAAGACTGGAGGGATATAGTATGAGAGTCCACGTACTTGGTTGAACAAACTTTTTTGCACGAGATCCTGGAGCTCTGCGAGCATCTAGATTCCATTAGTCAAAAGTCAAAACCTTTGAAGGGGTAAACAAACCTGCTCCTGCTGAAATTGTACCCTCTCCATCCTTGATGTGTGGACGGCAGTCTCCCTATGAAGTTGTCGATGCAAGTTCAACAGTGGTGAGTCTGAAATTGAATGGCGAGTATCGTTCGTACGTTCAAGATGATTTCATTCAAATAAATTAGCTATTACCGTAAGTGGCTTATCAGAACAATATTATTTAATAGCCTTATGGATGCACGGACGCAATATTAATGTCAATGTAGTGCTCAAGCTTTCAAGCTTCATTTCAAGTCATAAGCAACGGTACATCCTTCTTGCTGAACCTTTCATCCCAGCCAACAACTGATTACCCTTTGTTCCACACTCGCCCAGGAAGACCCCACACCCCTCCCCGTCTCACAACATCTGACATATATCCTGTCTCAACACCTGGAGAGGCTTCAACCCAAACACCATTTTCCCCGACTACACTACCATGCCCTCCCAATGTAACCCGTATTTCGACCAGCCCGTTCCCAGGCACATGCCTCGGAGAAGTGAGCACGATCATTGGAGGAGGGCATGTTTCGGGACCATGTGGCTGCTGCATGGGATCAGCAGAGGTTGAAAGATCCATACCGAGATCCATGTCCACACCCCCACCCATGCTCATGCTCAGCCCTGGAATGTCCATGTCCATCTCCAAGTCGCCCGGACCGAACAAGCTTGCACCACTGCTGGAGCCTGCGCTTGCAGGAGGACCCATGCCAAGCCCGCTGTGTTGTGATGTAAACGGATCGACCGGTTGGGACAATGTCGATAGAGCACTGGAGGGGAGGTAGACGTTCACTGGAATAGATTGCGGCGTGACCGTTCCTGCGAGGACCGAAGCGAGTAGAGTAGTTGATGCCGCGTCTTCTGGTTGCGTTCCTTGTTCTGCATTTTGACGATCGTCGAGGTGATTGCAGCACTTGGGGTTCGGGCGACCATTGGAGTATGCTCAGTGATTCGTTGAGCCAGCATTGTTCTCTAACAACCTGGAAGAATATGCATTAAGCATGACTTGACAGTTTGGTCGAAATGAAAACTTGCCTCTAATACTTGCGAGATTTGTTTTACGCTCCTCACCGGAACTCTCTGCAGGAGAAAGCCTGGTTCCAGAGGTGCTAGAAGGCGAAGATGTAGCGGCGGATGGATGTCATTTGGTGATTTCTAGATCAATGATCAGTGTGTGTTTGTACCTGCGCATGTTCCACACACATAAGTTGCAGTGTAGTATTCTGCTGATGAATTTTATTGACCTAGATCAGGTACAAGTATCAGCACACGCATATGCCTAGGGCTGTAGAGAAAAGTGACTGACCAATAAGTCAACCCAACTTCTACCAGTTCCTCCGCTTCCATTTTGTCTGTGAAGACGCCACACCAAATTCTCCAAAGTTCATATTGCTCATGTTACCTAGACTCGACATTGAGCCAATGCTAGACATGCTCCCCATTGAGATCAGGTCGATGGGTCGAGACTCGACGATTCCTTGAATTACACGCATGCGGTTCTGGCACATCACCACGCCATTATGTGGTAGCTTAGCGGTGAAGTCGAGCACCCACATCTGCGAAGGGGCAGTCAGAAGCGTGTGATCTCCAGGGACATCGCTAGAGTTCATCTTGGACTTTGCCACTTCAGTGCAAGGGACCAATCTCAGCGTAGCGATGGTGACATCTTCTAGAGTATCAAGCAGCGATGTCATGAGATGAGTCATAGGGATGTCAATGTTCCACATTGACGATTGTTTGGATGGCGGAGAGCTGCGAAGGAGTTGAAGATATGCACGGGGGTGAAAGCCAGACTATGAATGATAGCGAAGGAGTAACGAGAAAGGGTAGGGGAAGGGCATGTTGTGTCAAGAATTTGTCGAGAGTTTGCGTCTGTAGTGAACTGTGAATATCACGCATCAGGTATATAAAACAAGCACGACAAAAAACAAACGTACGCAACCTGCTTTCTAATGTGATCTGAGACTACAGCTGGCTCCATGAACCAACGAAGTCCTTTCTCGTTCTCAGAGGACGCGAGCCCGTCGAGCATCATGAGATATCGCAAGTGTTCCTGTATTGCACGGCTACGGCGTGCAGCTTCAATCGCAGGATCCTCTCTTGAGTGTCCGACAGTTGTATCTATGCAGCAGCGCGTCTCGCTGCATTGATCCAGCGGGTTACTTCCCGCGCGAGAAAGGAGTCTAGCTCTGGTGCTGCCGCTGAGTTCCCGTTACTGTTTGTATTATTGGCGAAGGACGTCTTGACAACGACATGGTCGTTAATATCAATATCAAGTACGAGCACTTTGCCTGCGAGAACAGTCGTCGATCCGTCTACGAAAACTTCCATGCCAAGATTACGCCCCCATTCCGCGATCTTTGCAGGATGGGGAGGACTTGTGTCTGGATAAACTGCTCTGTTGTCTCCTCGCAGCAGAGACGAGAGGGAAGCAGAGGCAGCAGCTGACTGGTTGATCGAAGATGTCAAAGCCGTGTGCTCCTTCATGAGGGCCACGAATTTGGTGGCGTTTTCGCCAAGGGCAGATCATTAAGCTGGTTCAGCGCATGATTTAGGCGGTGAGTTGTATTGATGACTGCACCAAGTTGCGCAGTTACTGTAGTATATTCAGTGCTGAGAGGATGAGCAGACTCGGTTGCTTGGACAGGCAACGTGGAGTGCACGAGCACATCGTGTACAGCGGTCAACAAAGATGGATGGGACATGCAGCTTCTTGAATTTGAACTTCATCTGGTCAGAAGAGGAGAGCGGAAGTTACCGATCAACACGCTGCATTGAAGTGAAACTTGCAACAAGCTGAAGCTGAACTTTAGAACCAACTGCTTCACTTGTGGACTGGTTTTTTTTTTCTCTCAAGGACGCACGTAGTCAAATAGGAGGAAAACTTTGTCTATCGCGTGCTTATGGCGGAGATACTCATGGACGACTACACTCTTGTCGTGGTACGTAAATACTATTGAATATGATGAATTGCTGGCACTTATCGCAGTGAAGAATGCATGCCTGTCTTCTGACTCCTGAGCTTCTATACGGTCGGCCTAGGGGAGGCGTTCCTTAAACCTTATTTTGTGGGTGCCAGTTTACCTGCTCAACAAGAAGAATGCGGCCCAGTGAGGTGATAAGCCACGATGCAGCTCCAGGGGTCTCTGGATGCCCACACTTATAACCTCATAGTACAAGTGTTTCAGGTCCTAGTGTGCCCAAGCAATATGTCCATCATTGAAAAGCTAGAAGAAACATCGGCTTCAGGTTCCATCACGACGTTGTTTCGTTTGGGCTCCGTAAACGCTATTTCCTCTATTCCAACTGAACTTCCTTTTCACTCTCCTCAGGTTGCGGGTCTTGGCTGGTGCCTGGCTATTCGCACCAAAAAAAAATAAACAAAGAAAAGCAACACCAGCTATGCTTCAATTCCCGTACTAGTTGTCCGGATGCGTGGCGTGGTACACTGGCCAAGGTCACAGTCTCTTTTCCGTCACATCCTGATGGTGATCCATCCCTCTGTACTACATCTATCACCGTGATCCTAGGACTTTGCGGTGTAGACTCGGATGATAATCATCCGCTGATCGCTGGCACTTGTTCCGCTCAGAAGCTTGGAAATGCCCTCGTCTCGCTGAAGGTCACCTTAACCAATACACTGACATGCAATCCATTTGATGTACCTGCACCTGTCGGGTTTGTACCAGACGCACCTGCCAGCGCTGAATCGCCCGGGGTGCCTCAGGCCTGTTCTGCCCTTCGTGCCCTCGAGCAATCGCTCAAGACGGGAACATCATTTGACATAGTATTTCAAGCTTATACTCGTCATTTGTCCCTCGGCAAGGTCACTAGACCAATTCCGATTTATGCGAGCACCGCTGTGCTGCAAACAACTTTGCCGGAATTTTGTATGTTATATTCTCATTCTTATTCTTATTCATGGCTGCTGAGTGTCGTTTGCAGCCGGAGGAGACCTTGATTTGTCCTCCTTCTTTGAACTGTCTGAAGGCGACACTCTCCCTTTTACTTCTCTGGAGAGTTATGGATACGATTCTGACAGTGACCTGGATGACGATGACTTGGTCAAGAATAACAACAGTCCTACACCAGCAGACAATGAATCACACGAGGGTTTATTTGTTTATTTCCAGTGTTGAAGCTTTGATCTCATGCCCATTGATCATCACCCCCGCAGACACGACTGATACTGGTTCAATCTCGTCTTTTTCTAGCATTGAAGGTACTGAAACTTGAAACTTCATACACATGTAAGATTGACAATTCAATCTTACAGCTGGACTTCAAGAGCAGCTAGGCAATCGGGCTTTGCTTTTGGAAGACATTGGGATGGTACCAGCTGTGAACGGCGAGAACTTGAAACGTGGACCTCGGGTCATCCTTGTAAAGGGTGTTGCCTGGAAGACGTAGGTATGATTTTCGTGTCGCAGAGACGCTACTGAATGAAGTTCGCAGGTGGCACGCCTTTATTTATTATTGTTACACCGGCATCGTCAACTTTGCAAACTTACGGTCTCAAAGGACGCCTGATGAGCAGAGTCGCTTAGAAGATAGTCCACCACATTGCTCTCCAAAGTCCATGTATCAACTAGCTATGAAGGTAACTCCATGCAACTTGTGTTAATGTATCTATATGAACTCAAATCTTCAGCTCAACAATGAACCATTATCTCAACTTGCATTAAAGGCCATTGAGACTAGGTTGTCCGCGGCCAACATACTTGATGAGGCATTCTTCAAATTTACTTCCAGGTATTGGTGATCTCGTCGTACATCTGCTTGTTGCTTACTGCCACTCCCAAAAGGCATGACGCCGTCAGAGTAATGGAAACTGCCCTCCTGCTGAAATATAGGAATGCGTCAGGAGTTCTGCAGGGTCTCCCAGCTAAGATGGAAGCTGTGGCCAGGGGCAATATACCCAATGCTGGACAGGTTCTCACTGCGTTAATTATGCAGATACCTGGCCAGAATTAGACCCGATGGCGTCACTGACCACTGTTAGGTATCGATTGTCGTTGGGTATGTTAATGTGCATTACGCGGACGTGTGGGCACGATCTTTACATTGTATTACCAACTTACTATCACGCTATGGCCTGCTTGACGAGTATTACGTGCACATGTTGTCGAATTCGTGGAATGATGCTCGCTGTTAGTTATCGTTTTCGATCTGCCCAGTGCTATTAGCTGAGACGATGGTTGTCGTTGCTCTGGCATATTTAGAAGGCACTACACCAAAACCTCTAAAATTCATAGTTACCTAGACTCGACCTGGGCTCCATGCTAGACATGCTCCCCATCAATGAATCCAGGTCGGTCGAGACCGTGATTCTTCGAATAGCATGGATACGGTGCTGGAACATCACCACGCAATTCTGCGGTGGCTTGGCTAGTCGGTCACCAGGAGCATATGATCATCTCCGAGGAGTCGCTTGAGTTCATCTTGAGCGTTGCTACTTCAGTGAAAAGGACCACTAGTAATCTCAGTTAGAGTGTAAGTAGCGATTTCTTGAGATGGGTCAAAATTTCACGTTATGCGGAGCTTGAAGCTTGGACCATGGCGCTTCTGTCAAGGGGCGGCAGGTCGATAAGCTGTTTCAGTGCATGATTTAGGCGGTGAGTTGTATTGATGACTGCACCGAGTTTAGACTAATACTGTAGGATAATCAGTGCTGACAAGGTGAACTGCTAGACTCGCTGATTCGGTTACTTGGACGATGAGACATGCCAAAGACACTTTTTGAATTCGAACAAATTCAAGTCAGAAGAGAGCGGAAGTTGCCGATCCAAAATTCGTATATACCGGAAATTTGGAAAGTCCCGTCCGTCCCGTCCGTCCTTTGGCAATCGGGGACGCCTCGGAAATTCTCCAAAGTCTCGGAATATATTCTCCGTTGGAAATTCCACATGCTTTGGGTGTCGCTTTACCAGTTGTGCATCACGCCTTGCTCGTTGCTCGTTGTCACTTGGCGTCGTTTATGCTAACGGACCTTCTGCTCTACCCTGTGCTGACAACAGGCCTAGAGGCATGGTGAGTTCAATCTTGTGCAGGCGGCACTCCTTACTCACTGCTACTTTATATGAATTCCTTTGGGTGCCGCTCAACTTACAGGCAGCCTGGAGCCGTCTTTCATGCTGTCCTAAGGCATTCTGGCAGTATGCCCCCGCCTACAGTATGCCCCTGCCCTCAGGAATATAAAAGGGCCCTGTTTATCAATATCAACCCGCCACCTTTCACTTCTCTCTCATTGCTCTGCGTCTTTGTCTCTCTCTTGTCGCTCTCCCAACACTGTTACTCTGGCCAGACGCTTGTGATGCCACGCTCTGCAGTTCAGCCGCCCACAGGCCCACATCCTAGTTATGAAGTTTCATGGACAACATGCGATAGACCATGTCCATGGACGGTGTGCGAATCTAATGAACATGGAAACTGCGGCCGTTGGCAAGCGATTGTAAGTTCTTTCCTCCATCTCCTTCAATTTCAATGTGTTGATGGGACGCATAGTGCTTTGATGTTAGTCAGGATGGTACGAAGTGCAACTTTGTGCACTTCAGATCGCCAAGGTCCTCTCCGGCAGCCGTCGCTCATACTCATACTTGTCAGTGAACCAGAAGTGCCCGCCTACCAGTACCAAAGCGCCGTGTGTGCATGGTTGTGGGCTGTAGCAGCACCCGTGTCAATAAGAACTGTACCTGGTCAACTTGCCGCAAACACTGCAGGCGCCTGGGTGGCTGCCACCTTTTCGACCACATTGGCGATCCAAACGGCGCTGAAGGGTTGGAGCTCGAAGATGATCCTGAGCATCCAGATGATCAAGATGCTGTGGCTGGGCTGCCAGATGACGACGACCCTGCACCCATTGAACGCCTGTCGCGTTCACCATCTCCTCATCTGCATGATGTATCAGGTGTTGCGGCGCCCATTATCGAGACTCACATCGAGCATCTGCCTGATAACCTGCAAGCAAAGAAGCCGACGAGGGCCCGAACTGTGCCTGCACGCAATCGCGCCTCCCCAGACAGTGGCCCTCGGTATCATATGCAAATGCCTGAAGTCTTCACAACGCAACTAGCAGAAAGATCCAAATGTGAGGAAGAACAATGTCAGCGCCATGCTGACGAGATTGAGGCGCATAATCGTGCACGGTACCATACAGTTGTGTATTCCTGGGTAAAGGTTTGTCGCTCCTTCTCTGCTACGCAGTAGACACTGATCATCACGCTCACAGGATGGTGGTCAGCCCAACGTGTTCGAGTTCCAGTCGGGCACATCATCATTTACTTGGCCCCACTTATCACTAAACCACCAAGTTATATCCCTGATGGGACTGGCTGCTGCTGGTGTTGATGAAGGGGTAGGTGCCGCCTCCATCATTCATGTATGGAACCATCGACGTCGAGAATGGCGAG